GTTGCTTCCCATCGCCGCCGCTTCGGCTGCATGTTCAATGGCCCGCCAGTCCAAACGGCTAGATCGAATCAACAGCGAGAAAGATAAGGACTTCTTCCCGGGTTGCAACATATAGACTGGGGGTTAGCCGGAGGCAGGGTCGGCCCAAATTGCTTTTGACCAGTTCATGGCCACCTTTATCGAGGAAGCTCAGGGAAAACGAGAGGAGCGCCCTGACTGAGGTTGCAGCTGGCTTTTGTTTGCATCCCAGTTCCGACGGATCTCTACAGGTATGTGGCTTGATGTGACTCGGGCCCCGTGGATGTTGTTGGGAACCAGCGTTGTTTTCACTCAGCTTCGTATAAAAGACGATGCCTTTTTCCCAGGTGCAGATGTGGGCTTTGTTTGTGGAAGCCGTAAGCCAATGACGACAGGCTGGCGGGTTTCCAGCACCTTCTTTTTATAGGATTTGTGTCTCTACTGTGCCCAAGTTTGTTTGCACTTGGCATGAGAACAAGTGCAATGAAGCGCATGTTTGGACACAGAAGGACGTTGCATGTATAAAGATAGACTTTGCATGCGAATATGTTTAACTGCACTTTGTGCTTGAAGATGATTACAGGAGTTTCCTAGAAAGGCCGACGCGTGAAAGATGATCGCTGCCCCAGGGTGGGTCAAGTCTGGAGTTGCTGCAGTTAACGTGTGCGTCTACCGTGCAAAAGCTTGGGGGAAGCCCACGACTTGCAACATTTTGCTTTGAACAGATCTGTCATCAGTTGGAAACAGAATTGGGCCAGATATCCCGGCAGATGCGTCGGAGCATGGGAGCTGCAAAGTCAGTGGGCACAAACGCAGCGCGGTGGCGCAGCGCTATACTAATGGAGCTGGGTGGAAAGTGTAGAAACGCGTCCAGGCTTGTGTTCTGATTGCGCCCGCATCACCCATGCATTCCGAAACCGACCCTGGTGGGTGAGGCTCTTCGAAGCTTTCTACGACATATGCCTTCACGACTCGACACAGGATTTCCTAGTTGGGCGCGTCGAAGACATCGCGCCATTTGTTGACCCGCTGCAAAACTTGTCGACTCCGCGCCTAGCACATTGCCGCATTGGTCCTCGATTCAATCAGCTCGCCGCTGCGCTAGGCAAAGTGGCAAGGAAGCGCTACTCTAGCAGATGACAACGGGAAACCATAGCTGCGGGCAAACGGAATCTAGCTGGAATGAGGTGCATGGAATCCAACTAACAGAAGAACTGCGAGTAAATGGTTGTACTGACGGCAGCGAAAGGTTGAGTTGGCAAACCTTGATATTGCGATTCAATGGATTGAGGGGAGCCGATGAGGCGGGCTGCAATGCAAAGGGTACGGCAATGCAGAGGGCGCGGCACGCATTGTAAACACGTGCAAGGCCGTTTGGGAGGTTGCAATCTCGGCTCCTTTATTCAAGCTGAAAGTTTGAACGAATTCGGGGCTCCTTTCGCTGGAATACTTCGGCGATTTGCCTGAGGCCTCAGGCCAAGCCACCAGCGAGTCAGATGCCGGCGCTCAGCCTAGTTATTCAGAGCTTGGGGTGGGAGATGCTGTTTGCTTGTCAGGTCTCGGCTGGATGCATTCGGGTTTTACAGCTTAAGCTGGCTTCGCTTGGGCCGGTTGGCTTGACATGCTTTGACCTTCCTTTGCGCAAGTCCTTGAGCGTGTGTAGGAGAATGTGTGTGTGTGTACTTGTGTATTTGTGTGTGTGTGTGTTTGTATGTGCAAGGCGGAGTGTGTTGTCAAGCAATATCTTTGACGGGGTCAACATTCAGCTTTGCTTCTTGGGACAGGACGTCCATGACCCCTCAGCGCAGCATGTCCATGCTCGGCTCGCATTTGCAGCTTCAGAATGGCATGCCCTGATGAATGGTTTCCTCCCCCCAGAGTTGCGTCCGCATGTGCTACAGTCAAAAGACAAACTTGGTTTTGCCAGGGATGATCATCAATCCATCGGAAGACTTGGGCGACCAGACCAACCCTAGGTTTCTTCCCTTTGCTGAAGATGTTTTTTGTTTTTGTTCCACTGTTTTAAAGGGAATCGATTTCACTACTGGAAATAGGCTTTTATTTTTTTTCCGGAAGCTTAAGGAAATGGAAGGCTTGGCTCATGGATTTCGTGTCCTGGAGGCTGGACCGCTGTGATCTTCCTTCTGTTGCTGATCGGTTCGGCTGCCCGGCACCCCAAGCCCGGCAGCGGCACATGGTGTGTATCAATTCGCGAATCCTGAGCACTGGACAGGTACATATTCATGTGGCTGTGGGTCAAAATCCCGTACCCCCAGTGAACATCCCAATCCCCACTAAAATAGACTAAAATGGGTGGTGCACCTACCCTAAAATGGTACCATTGGTTTTCACCCACAGCCACGTATCATAGGCGTGGCTTAAGAAAGTTCCATCTAACAGCACTGGGATCCAAAGGAATGATCGAATCAGAACCTCCGGGGGTTCCGGATCCCGCGTTGGTGCACACACCGCAAGATTCAAGATCTCTGGGCACATAAAATGCAGTTTCTTGCTTCTGCGCGGCCGCAGGGATCATTTGTGGCAAGAGTTGGTGCCTATCGCTGTCCTTGGAGAAATTGTATGGAGTTATTCTATCAAATATCGGGGTTCAATAGAGGCTTGCTGGAAAGAGCCTGGAGTCTGACTATGAATTTGCTGCAGATCGGAGATGCACGAACAGATGTCCATGTGTCACTTGGCACCAACCCTGAGTGTGAATACTCAAGGTAAAGCGTTGGTATGAACCTTGATTCCCGGCTGAAGTAGATACAAGTTGAAAGCTGGATTGCAGAACTCTAGCAAACCCAATAGGATCTTCCTTGCAACGCACGGCACTTTGAGTGTGTGCATATATTGCTTCACATATTCGCCACTAGTTGTATGTGTGTGTGTGTGCGCGCGTGTGAGTGTGTGTGTGTGTGCGTGCTTGCTTTTGGAAAGGGCGTTTCCTTACACTTTCGCACGCTTATTGAAGGGTGTCGCATTCAGACACAATCCATACGCTCACATAATATAGCAATCCAGTACAGGAAGTGAAAGGCAGCCAAACACGAGAAGGCTTGGCTTTTCCTCGTGACCTTCACAAGCCAAGTTGGAGCTGCCTGAACTTGCACCTGAACAAAGCGATTCATATGCTCACATGTTGGCAAATCAACCGCTTGACATGAACAGGTTCAATCCTTATTTAATATGTATGTACTTGTACTTTGATTAGTTTTCTGGTTCCAAGAGGTTTCCTCGGTTCTCCAAGATTGAAATGATGTGCATTGGGCGAGCTCTGGTTGTTCTCCCGTACGCAGTTCGCCTGTCGTCCCTGTCAGGTCGGCGCCTTTTGCTGGATACAGCGACGGGAGAGGATGATCCAGGCATATGCGGAGGACACAAAGATGGTTGGACAATTCACCATATTAGTGAGGGAATCTTGCTGTCCCCCTGTCCCTTCTGGAGCAACTTTGCGGGCAACAGAGAAACCAAATCGCAGTCTTAAGGTAAGAATCTCTTCCATCAAGCCATCAAGCCGTCCTTGAGTTTATATTTGTATAGCGTCTTATTTGTTTAGCAAGTGCTTCAAACAAGAAAGAACAGTCGGCCTAGTATTGGCTTTCAGCAGATGCCTGGTTGACCTGTTGGTAAGTAGCCAAGGTACTGCCTAGGGAGGTGCTTCTTCCTTCCAGCAAGGAAGAGATGCGGATGCGACAGAGTGTGCCGGAGATGCAGGCAACCCTGGCTTTGTCTTTCGGGCGGGGGGGGGAGTTGCTGGTGTGACGATGCGCTGCTGATGAGGTAGGTTTCAAGATGTTCGAACGTTCAGGCAACACCCATGTTTGGCTTGAAGTTGGCACACTTCATCATCCATTTCTCTGAGTTGTTATATTTTGTTGTGCAGTCCTCATGATGAAGTTCACTAGCCTGGCAGCTCGTCCTGATTGGCTGGTGTTTGTTTGGGCTGGAGGAGGCATAGAGCTGGGCTTCGTTTGTACTCAGGCTCAGGAAGGGTTTTTGCATTGAGTGAAGGAAGCACCGTCCCATTTTGTTTCTACGTCATGCGCCCTTGATTTTGCAGTGCCAGTTCAATTCAGACTAATGCAACCACTCGGACCCAGCTTGGCACAGGATTGCATTGGCTTTCTCCTGGACTTAATTAGAATTTAGTAGCCATGAGGTGCTTAGGATGTATGCGCTTGTTTCGCCAAGCGTCTCTGTGGCCCCTGATGACGGATGACAGGGAGCGTCCTTGTCAGATTGCTTCAACCAGATGCGTGACCGAAATGGGCGGGCTGCGAATGTGTTTGAATCGCAGTCAATTGCGGTTCGTGTTCATGGCACTAGGGCACAGAGACTTTTTGCACTGTACGAAACCATCGGACCCGTGTCGATAGCCATCTTGTTGCGATGTTCTGAGAGTTTGGACCTCGGCTGAGCCAGCTCGGCTTGCTGGTTGATCACCCAAAGAGGAATCTTCCACTTGACCAAGGCAACAGATTCCGGACGTTCCCGTGGAAACTTGATGCCTGTCGGGATCTCGCCCTGACTTTTGCCATTCGGCGCTCAAGGAGGCGGATTGACCTAGATGTGCATAGCGCATGCCGCCTGCAGGGATCACACCGCTTTACACCCCGCAATCTCGATTGCCTTGTGACCTCATCCATACTTGCGTTTGGCAGACATGGCAATAAGGCCCTCAGCACATTTTGATGACTTATCCTTCGTAGAGCTCGGCTTTAAATCTCTTGAAATGATCAAGGTCACTGTCCACTACTTGCACAGCAAGGTCGAGCAGTTCATCCACTCGCCTTGGACAGGATGTTTCTTCCCAACTCAGACCGGCTCGATATGGCTCCATGCCTCATAGCATTGTTGCCAAGCCAGCGGACAAGGGCCAGGATTAGTTAAACACCAGCCTTGACTTCAATATTGAGTATATTGATTCGAGCACTTATTGAAGCAACAGGCCGTTTTGATGACACGCTTCCGTGCCTGACATGGGGCAGCAGGCCGGGGGAGGGGGGGGGGGGGGGGAGGGCAGCCAGACCGAATTGGGCCAGTGCAGCAGCGTCTTGCTGTCCTTTCATGGAAAGGAGGCTAATTTATTGAGCAACAGAGCACATTGCCCTAGCCGCTGGGTGCGTGAGATGGGTTACACGCGGCCTCCCTCCAAGAAACCTGGAAGTGCACAAATTCTGGGAAGGGTTCCTGGGCACTTCCACGTTTG